ACATTGACCCCCTTGTGTAAAGCCAGACATCTCAAGGGCAAAGCCTTCTCCACTGAAAGACCATGCACTGCACTGGCACTGCTGGCATCTCGGGGTGTAAAACTCCCCAGCCTGACTTGGCTCTTGGACTCCCTCCCCCGCAGGTGTCCCCGTGATGAGACCGTGATGTACATCAATGCCATCGGAAACAGCACCCTGGCAAAGTTCAGCTTCCAGATGTTCCAATTCATCAACTACTCGGAGGTGTTCCTGCACTGCCGAGTCCGCCTGTGCCTCCCCGATGGCCCCGAGCCCTGTGCAAAGGTGAGGTCCCCGCTGCCCCCCGCACTGCGAGCGGGACTTGTTGGATTCTTCTCCTCTGAGCTGCCTTAGCTGCGGCCGAGGGCTCTGCTCTGACCCTACACTGGGTTCAGCTAAGGGCTGGCTACAGGCCTCTCCCTGTGAAACTGTCACTGAACAATAAGGACCCATTGGACCCGCTCTCTAAGACTTGCCTCCCTTGTGGGGCCTGTAAATGAGAGAGTCACTTCTGCAGCATGACAATGTGAGGCCCCACCGTGTTAGGCAGGGTACAAACGCAGACCAAAGAGACTGGCCCTGCCCCCAAAGAGCTGACAGTCTGCGCTGGGCCTCAGATTTGCCCCAGTTCTTTCAGCAGCTCTCTGGCTCTCCTTGCTTCCAGAAAGAACCGAGCACGACGTTGCTTCCTCTTAAGGGGCAGCTGCCCAGTGATGGAGGGCCTCCTCTCCTTTCCCTCAGAGCTCCAGGATTACATTATGGAGGGCTTTTACTTTAACCTCCCCTTTAATGATCGCTGGGTCCATCCAGTTCGTTGGTCTGCCTGGCTGCTGGATAAATGAACTGAAAATATCTCCCGTAGCTTGTAGAAGGTTCCTGGGACCATGCAAGTGGAGGCTTTTCACTGCCAGATATTCAGAGGAAGGGCTCTTCCTACACGGCACAGGAGAAGAAAAAGCAAGAGTCCCATCCTGCCCCATGCCCTAGCTTTCTTCCCTCTGTTCCGCTCACAGCAATGTCCCAGGAAGTCGAAGAGCAAGAGGGCACTTGAGGAGGACTACAAGAAGATTGTCTCTTATGGACCCATCCATCTCCTCGCCTCTCCCCTTTCTGGAGCACGGAATGCTGAATCGGGGACAAAACTGCAGGACCTTTGGGGTACGTATGTCCCGTCCTGGATAACTGTACAAAGCCAGTTGAGTAGGAACAGTCCAATCACACTTGCCCCCTGTTACATATAGCCATTAAAGGAGGCTACTAAGATCTCTCCCCTGCAATGTGGCAGTTCGGGGTCTTTCAGCCTGTCACATCTCAATGCTCCTATGTTGTGTTCTGCAGGACTAGAAGTCTCAAGATGTAGAATGTGTATAGAGAGCCTAGTCTGCCCCACCGAATCTGCCTCCTCCTAGGCCAGACGTCTGCCACGGCACAGAGTCACTTGGAAGACCAGGGAATGGCTTGGAGGAGGGGCGCTGATGGCAGGAAGCCTGTCAAATACAGAGAGGGAGTGATTAAGGGCTAGGTTTTTCAAGAGCTTGGTGCTCCGCATGCTGAGTGCTTTTGAAAATTGGTGGATGCTGGGCTCTCCACAGAATCTGACCCTAAATGTTAGGAGCGAGGGACTGATTAAGATCAGGGCTTCAGATTTTCGGTGTTAACTGACCAATGCTGATAAAACATCCAGATCCAAAAAACAATCTCGGTTTATCCAATGAAATGCTGGAAATGGTGATTTGTACCTAAAGAGCTTGTCTACACGGAGCAGTAATGCAGACTACAGGGATGTGACTTCTAAAGCACACTGTTTGTGCGTGAATTGGTCTGTGTAGACCCTGCTGATGCACCCCAAGGTTCCTGAGGGTGCTGTAACATTTGAAGCCATCCTACATTAATGTGCACTGGCGAACATTACAAAGAGATGACTAGGAGTGTAATAAGTGTGCGTGTGTGTGTGTGTGTGTGTGTGTGTGTGTGTGTGTGTGTGTGTATGATTATATATATATATATATATATATACAAAATGCCTTGAAAACTCCCAATTTTGGGAGCCATCTACCTAAAACTCAAATTGCTAAAAATCAGCCCCAATTCAGAGACAGCCCTGAAGTACACAGGTCTTATGGGCTGAGTGTCTTTGCTGCAATGCAGTATGTCCTACTCACTGGTGCAGAGAGCAGCGGCCATGGTGGGTCTTGCATGTCACGAGAAGTGACCCCACCTTCCCAGGCCTACTGCAGTGGCAGGCTCTCTACTAAGGAACACAAGGAAGAACCAGTAATGTAACTGCTTTCTTTTTTAGGGCCACAGCTGTGGATTCCTGGTGCCCTGGTAACGCTGATCATAGCCGGCCTCTTCGTTCTGGTTGCTATAGCTAAAGCTATGAAGAAATGAGTGATGTCCAGAGAGCACAATTTCTAAATAAACCTGCCACTTGCAAAGAGAGAGCGTCTGTCTGCTTCTTTAAACAGACTTCTCTGGAAGAACAGGCTGCTTGTTTGGAGGAGGGAAGCTGGTTTAATGCTCTAAAGCTCAAATGGTTCAACCACTTGAGTCTCTCAGTTGCTTATGTTCTCTTGTGCCTATAGCTGCTGACACGGAGCAGACTTTCCTGGCATATCCCACAACACCCGAGCCCCCATGCACAAGCGCTGTGCTGGATTTACAAAGCTTAGCCACTCTATGGAAACAAAGGTGGTGACAGGTGCTGGAGCTGTCAACTAGGAAACAGGATATTAGGGGAGACTTACAAAGGGCAGTGAGGTGCTCTAAGCCCATTACAGCCGATGAACTGGGTGCTTAACTCCCCTCTGTGCCTCTAACAATCCTTCCCCTGCTCTTCCCTGAGAGTGTTGGTCTTAAAGTGGAGGGTGAGGGGGTATGCTGGTTAACCACTGACAGTCAGCTGCAAGTGTTGGTTCCCCGAGGCACTTGCTGAATGGAAACACTTACAGGAAGAATCATCTGGCTGTTGGTGTGGGAACCAAAACTTAGAACATGTTGACCTGTGTCTAAATCCTCCAGCTGGTCAGTGCTTTAACGTCCGCTTCCTCTCCCACCCACTCTGGTGACAGTCTGTTCTTGCACATAGCCAGCTAGATACTGGAGTCAACCGGTTATCCATCTGACTGCACCGCAGGCGATTTTCAGCGCAGTGGGGCTCATTGATACATAACGTACCCAAGAGACTTGGTCTCTTTTAAACACCAGCAGTGACACAGGCCATAATCTTCACATAGTTGGAGGTGTTGCTACACAAGCCAAATCTCTACCTGGAGCAAGCTTTATAGCAGGTTTAATGATTCACAGTGAACTCCAAAGTTTGGGTGAGTTTAGTGACGGCTGCTGCCAGGTTGGGCACCGTGCACAAATCTGCTGAACTATACACCTGAGGGTGCCCCTTTCTCAGGCTTCCTAGGGGGTGTGGCTATTTGGAGCAATGTAACGACTCATGTCTGCTTAAGGGAGAACAGACTTTTTGTAACTGGGTGCAGTGCCATAATTCTGCATGGGAACTGTAATTATTGCTTATTTGCATAGGCAAATTAGCACACATGCAGAGCCTCCCATACAGGAATTGTGAGCTCTGGCCTGTGTATGACTAAACGCTAGGTATAAAACCTCTTGCAGTACTTTCTCTAGAATTACTCAGTAACAGTCCTCACTGCCCCTAAGTACTTCAGGGAATGTTACTGCCATTTAGGAGGATAGTCTGTACAGAAGTGGTGAATGAGCGATCTTGCGCAAAGAGCCCGTTTGTAAAAGCAGCCAGTGCAGTGAAATCTGTTCCTGCTTCAAACCATGCCCCTTTTCCAGGAGCAGTGCAGATCTGGCAACTCCATACCCCAAGGAGAAAGATCTGCTGCCCCCAGACTTCTGGAGGTGCTCAGTGTCCCACCCTGGAGGTTCCCAATGGCGTCGGGAGGGAATAATCACATTACGCATAATGTAGTAATTCACTTGTTTATTCAAAAGTCCTCAGCTCTATATGTACAGTGCCCTGGATTAGAAATGGGGACAGGCGCTTTGATGGAATGGGCTAGTGCCTAATGTAGTTCCCACTGATCAATGGAAGAGCTGCTTTTTCAACTCCGGGGGGATGAGAGAAATAATTCAGCCTATCAAGCCTCTGCAGCTCTGAGATGTGTGCAGCGTTCTACCTCTCTGTGTTGGTTGGAATCTGCTAAACGGGAATTGTGCCCAGGAGCCAACTTATTCCCCATTAATATGTAGCAAGAGGGATTCCTGCAAAAGGGGGGCTGGAATCCTCTTATCCGATAGTGCTGTAACTCGGTTAAACTCCATCCATGAACCTGTAGTGACTCTAAGCTCAGCAGGACAGGGGTGAAACGTGAAAGATTTTCCTGCTGGCTCGATTCCTAGCCCCTGGTCCTCTTCTGCCTTAACTAAAGGGGCAAAACTGGGGCTGCTACAGAGCTTGAATCCATCAAGCTTATGCCCAGAAGTTTCTGTTCAGATCTCATTCCCCTCTCTCTCAAGAGGGAGCTTCTTAGAAGTAAAGTTCAATGGGAGTAAGGTGCTTAAATACCTTGCAGATCTTGGCCTAAGTGACTAAGGGGCATTCCTGAGACCACCAGAAAGCTGTGATGATCTGCAGGGACGTTAGCTGAAGCGCTCTAGCTGGAGTACGGCAGATGCCAGTGCTCTAGGCTCTGTCTTCAAGTAATCGAGGCCCCTTAATCAGACAGAGAGGCTGGCCTCAGCGAAGTTTCTCTTATGGCAGACCAAGTTCACAGTGGGGTAAACTGAGCCGTAGCAAGGTAGCTGTGAGCAAATAACTTGACTTTTCTGTGCCATGGTTCACCCATCTGTAAAGTAGGTATTATTCTGATCCTCACGCAGTGCATCAGGTTCAGAACAAGACACAGAATTCAGGCCACTTACTTCCAGTTCCCTGCTCTGACTGCTAGACAAAACTCCTCCTCCCCCCCCCCCCCCCCCCCCCCCCCCGCCTGGAAGAGAAGCTGGTGCTACCGCTAGCTGCGGGAAGCGGTGGTGACTTTCACGTTCTTGCCGCTGCCGGAGGAGGATGTGGTTGCATCTTTCTTTGGATAGTAGAGGACCGTGAACCAGATGAATATGAAGAGACCTGTGGGAAGAGAGAGAGAGGCCTCGGTCAGGGGTGGAAACGTCGGAACCTGGCCTGCTAGCGAACACTATGGCTAATGCCTAGGTACCTTTAGCAGAACAAGTTTGAACCTAGCCTCATTAGCTCTTAGTGTGCACAGGTGACAGCGGAGATTGGCTCATACCACGTTCCAGGGGGAATTTCACCTGTCTCCTGCTGCCTCAACAAGCCCAAGGTGATGTTGAAGGAAGCTCCTAAACTCACTTGCCCCAGCTGAGCCGCTGTTAATGTTCCGTCTTTCGCTAAAGGGGGAGAGTGCAGGTGGGGTGGTAGCCACCGGCGTGCCATCCCTCCCGCCCCCTTCGAGCTACATCCCTCGCTCCTGGGGCAGGCAACGCTCTAGCTCTAGTGCTCCTCAGAACAGTGCGGTTAGGCGTGGCCCCCCAGAACTGCCTACCTCTCATAGGGAAGTGGGGCCTGCAGCAAGGTCCTAGCATGCACTGCTCTAGCTACGAGAGATCCAAATGGCTTTCCATTCAGTTCAAGATGTAGCATTGTTCTTTGGGACCTATAGTTAGGGTGACCAGATGTCCTGATTTTATAGGGACAGTCCTGATTTTTGGGTCTTTTTCTTATATAGGATCCTATTACCCCCCACCCCCTGTCCTGATTTTTCACACTTGCTGTCTGGTCATCCTACCTATAGTGCTAGTGTAACCCCCACACCTCCTGGGTGTGGCGTTCTGTCCCATCTAGTGGCACTGAGACCACTTAAAGAGAGAGTTAAATGAGTTGGCTTTTAGCTCATGTGATAGGCTCATGCACTAAGCTCTAGAGGTCCCCGGTTCGATCCTGCCTGCCGACGACCGGGGTCTGTCTGTTGGCGTTACACTAGGGGGTCACATCTCTATTAAAGGGGAGGGCAGCTGTGATCTGGTCCACTCTGAGTCATAGCTGTGGCCCTCCAGCCTTGGGTGAGTTGCCCATGCAGCCGCTGGGCAATGCCTGGGCACCACTGGTAGGCAGTGCCGCCTGGCTCGGTGCTTTAACTGGGAGCTGTGCCCTGACCTTGGAGAGAGTTCAGTACTGTGAAGAGGTAGGCTGCAGGCACGGACATGGCGCCGTAGGTGAAGAAGGCCAGCCCCCATGTGGCTCCCAGCAGGCAGGAGAGGCCGAGCACTGTGAGGCCTCTCTTCCAGGTCTCTATTTTCTCCTCCTTCCCCGCTGTGGTGCGCTGCAGGCTGAACAGCTTCCAGGCTACAACCACGAGGACCAGGGTGTTGAAGAGGAGGATCAGGCCGAAGTAGCTGCAGTTGGTGATGTAATGGACCACCACGTGAGTGGAGTTTATCCAGCACCTGCAAGGGACAACTCAGTGAGCCTGGACGGGGGGCAGCTGGGGATGCTGTCAGAGCTGGGGTGGGCAGGGTGGGTGGCAGGCAATGGAATGGGGCAGCACACCAAGAAATTGCTCCTGTACGGATCGGCGCAGGTGGCTCTCCTAGCCTGGGGACCCCCCTTCATAGAGACCCTCCTAGAAGGCAGGGCCAGGTGGTTTCAGAAAGGGGGGGCAAGGATGGTGCGGGTGGAAGGTTGACAGGGTGGCCGAGCAGATCTCCTGCGGTCGGGAATGCTGCGGTGCTAGCGCACCCCTGGTCTGTGATGGTGGGCAGTGACGTTCTTCCCACTCTGTCACCTCGGGAATTCCATCGAGCACGGCAGCAGGCGACGTGGCAATGGGTGTGTACTGGGATAGGGCAAGCAGCCCTTTTAAACAAAGGCTTCCTGTGGAGTGGAGCCCTAGGAGTGGCCAAGCTCTAGGAACGACCTCCCCTCCCATCCCTAGGACCTGTGGTCCTGCCAGGAGCAGTCTGGAGCACGTATGCTGAAGGCCAGATCCTGCTTTCCTTGTTTTCCCCAATTGCCCGCTGAGGTCCGTGGGAGCCTTGGCTGCCCACGGAAGGCACTACTGGGCCCTGGGTCTTCCCCTTTCATTTCTACAGCAGGGGGTGTCCCCATGTCACAGCTGGGGCACGGTCTGGGCGTAGAGCTATGCATGGGCAGTGCGTGAGTCCTCCTTGGGAGGAGGCTGCGTTTGCCTGGACCGTAGCCTCCCCCTGAGGCCCACCTCTGCTCAGCCACCTCCTCCTGAAGCCCCACCCATGCTCCACCCTGGCCTCGCTAAGCCCCCTCCCCGAAGTCCCTCTGCTCACTGGCTGTCCACTCACCACTTGCGCGTGCCTCTTCCCCCCCCACTCCTGCGAGGCCCCCATGCAGGTGGAGCTGGGACGGGAAGAGGCAGAGCTGTGGGGGAAGAGGACGAGCGGGAGATGGAGCCCAGGCCAGGCTACAGCCGGGGCACCCACCCTTTCAGCGGCGGTGCGCTCCAAAGGCAGCGAGCTGTCTGTTTGGGGAGGCGTAGCTTCCCCTGGCCTCGTATCCCCGCCGCCTCTGGGGCTATGCCAGGGCAGCCCTGCAGCGGATGGGGTGGGCTTGCTAACACCGCTGCAGGGCTGAACCTTGGACAGCGGGTGGAAGCTGAGGAACAAAGTAAAGATTGGTCCAGTTTCCTTTCTAAGACAGCCCAGGAGCAGGAGCGGGCCCGCTTTGCCCAAGCCAAGCCACTAAGCTAAGCCACGCCGCAGGGAGCCAGGCGAGAGGGTGCAACTTACAGGGCGACGGGGGGCTGGTTGGCCATATCCGTAATGGTGTATTTTCCATAGCTGTTCATGCTGCCAGTGATCGTGACCACGAGAGCAGGGAAGCCTGAAAAAGCAAAGGGAGGAGTCCGTGAATGCCTGAGGAAGGGGGAGATTGGGGGCGGGGGGGGGGGCTATTTTTTCTTTCTGTTTCTAAGGCCTGGTCTACACTAGGGGGGATCGATCTAAGATACGCAACTTCAGCTACGAGAATAGCATAGCGGAAGTCGACGTATCTTAGATCGACTTAGAATCACTTCCTTCACATCCTCGCGGCACGGGATCGATGGCCGCCGCTCCCCCGTCGACTCCGCTTCCGCCTCTCGCCCTGGTGGAGTTCCGGAGTCGATGGCAGAGCGATCGGGGATCAATTTATCGCGTCTACACTAGAGGCGATAAATCGATCCCCGATAGATCGATCACTACCCGCCGATCCGGCAGGTAGTGTAGACGTACCCTTTATGCTCTGACCTCTTGTCCATCTAAGCCCAGGTCCAGACGGGGTCTGAGACAACAGGCAAATCTCAGCGGACACAAACTGTTTTAAGAAGCCATTTTGCGGAGATGTGATATCGTGTGGAGACTTAGGTTGGGTGGGCTCTGGTCTCCTTCTCCTACACTCCCAGCAGTGCTGCTGTGCCTTGTTAACCGCTGCTGTGGGACTGATCTCTGATAAAGGTCGATATTTAAAATCCAGAGGATCTAACCTTCTTACTAAGGCAGGTCAGACTTTGATCCCAAACAGGTTGGCTGTGTCCCTTTAAGAGCTGGCTCTAAGCTCTCCATGGCTAGGGAGCCCACCGTTGAGCCTGACAATCCAGCCCCTAGCAACCCGGGGGAGATGCAGCCTACCCCAGCCGACGAGGCACAGCTTCACCATGTAGTGCCGCATGTAGATGTTGGTGACTTTGATGACCAACAGGTAGAGTTGAAAAGCCTCAATGGCCATCCAGGTGAAACAGCAGAGCAGGCAGTAGTGGGTGAAGCCGCCGATGCCCTTGCATAGCCCCAGATGGCCCAGGCTGAAGATCCATCTGTTCAGCAGATAGGCCAGGTTCAGGAGGAGCAGGCTGCCCGTGAGGTTCACATGGATCTTGACCGTGTCATTGGACTTGAATTTTTTGTAAACGAACCTGAGAGCGAAATGAGGCTCAGTGAAGACCCAAGTCAGCTCAGGAAAAGAGTGACACCCATCAAAGAGCATCGCTGCTCTCAGGGCACCAATTCCCCACTGCCTCCTAGGAAACCAAGGGGCGGATACTCTCATCCCTAAGTGGGGGTGAGATAGGCCCATGAATGTGGGTTGTTGATTTAATCGCTCCCGCCATGTAGAGCGAGAGACACGTTAACTCCAGAACTTCCTAATGAAACACAGAGCAGAGAGAGACGTGGCAGAACCCAGGGGAAAACAAAGGACCCGGCTGGGGGAAGAGAGGATGAGAGGGGAGGAGACTGGAAGCTCTTTGGGTCAGGGACTCTTTTGTTGTTGGTATGTGTGTGCATGGAGCCCAACACAACGGCCCCCTAGTCCCTGGTTGTAACCTCTGGGCCCTACCGCAATCCAAGTGACTGGCAGAGAAGGGGACAAATGAGCCACTCAGAGGCTGCCCCTCGCAAGGGGGTGACTGCGGCATGAGAGATGCCTCAGGAATGCAGGACCATGGACGGTTCTTGTTTCCCTTCCCCTTGACCCTGGGGGATTTGGGGCCAGTCTCAGCCCTAGTGAAAGCAGATGTTACAACCAGTGAAGTCGCTGGAACTGCACCAGTTTGAACTTGGGCTGAACTTGGCCCATAGACTCTGCCTTCGCCCAGCTCCAGGCTCCGGTGGGAGGGTGGGGATGCCAGGAACACCCAGAGAGGGCCTGAGGGAGAAGCTGGAGGTGTCCTACCTTAGAGCAAAGTACAGGCCGATGGTGAGGGCTGAGAAGAACACGGAAATCCCGCAGCCGACGTTTGCGATAGTTAATAACATCTGGGCTGCGATGTTGTCTAGGGACGGAGTCTGTCAAACACACACACAGGCGCTGGGTTACCACAGGCGCGGGCTGGTGTGACAGCAGAGAACATGAGAACACAGGCAGCTTAACAACCTGCTGGAGCCGCTGGGAGCTTCCGGGCAGGGCTGGGTGGGGACTAAAGGGGGGGGCTGTTGCTGCAGGCCCAGCTTGCAAAGCCCCTGGGTGAGGAGAAGGGGAGTGGAAGTGTGAGAGAGCTTGTCAGGCTACCCGGCGAAGCGCAGCACAAAAGGAGAGCCGTGGTTCTGAGCAGACCAGTCACTCCGGCCATGCCCTGGAAAGATGGGAGAAGGAGGAGCGGGGATTAGCTAAGGTTGCCATGGACAGAAATGACTGGGCAGCACCTCAGGCTGGGAGAAGAGAATTTGAGTCTCTCTGCTTTGGTATTGCAGGCCAGATGCTTAGCTGGAGAACGTCCCCATCTGCCATCCAGCCACTGAAGGTGCTGGATTGGGTTTGTTGCTGATTAGAGACCAGGGGCTTGGAGAGGTGGAGCCCAGCTTTGTCCCTGGCGCTGGGCTGACTTTCTACAGGCCTCAGATGAGGTGTAAGCGTACAGTTCATATATGGAACAGCTCCAGCGCAGATTGAACCCGGCCTCTGGGGCTCAGGATGGAGCAGGCAGCAGAAGCCAAACTAAAAGCAGTAGGTACAGGGTATACGTGATACCATTAAGAGGGTGAAGAAGGTCAGGTGATCACAGCAGCACATGGTCTCTCTGTCTCTGGGTATGGTGAGGCAGCCAGATGTGTTCCATCCTCCACGCTTGCCTGAAAAATTCACACGGAGAAGCTATGGAGTGGAAACCAAGCACATCCTCAATCCTCGCTGCACACTGATTGTAACAGCCACCAATGTGAAACGGCAGCAAAATGGCCCTGTGAGTGCCCGGGAGATCTCAAAGCACAGCTTGAAGAGACAGTGTAAAGCCTCCGGTTTGGGAAGGGGATAGTGAAGGAACGGACATGGGGGTGGGACGAAGGGCTCGTTTGCCATGGCTTGCAAAGACCATGGTATAGGCTCAGATGCGACACTGATGGGGGACATATACGTATATAGGTTGGTGTCTGTCTAGCCTATGAGAACAAAGGACATATACCATGTGACAGCCTCTGGCACAACCAGAGCCTGGACATTAAGTTATTAAATGTGAAATACATCTTCAGGCACAGATGAGGGGCTCCTCCCCTCATTAGATACCTGTGCACGGGCTGGTATTTCTGTGGGGGTTCCTGTATTGCTCACCTGGCTACAGGTAAATTCTGAGATCTGCTTACCAGAGGCCTCTCTGGGGATTATTCTAACAATACATTGGCTCTAGTGGTTCCTGCCTGCCCTTGGGCCTGCCCCCAAGCCGTTGAACAGGAACAGGCCCAGGACCGGGCACTTCGAATTTGTGAGCAATTGCAGTTAAAACACACAAAAGGCCAAACACATCAAGCAACCAATTCTGAGTGAGCGCCGGCGCCCACAGCATTCCCGGACACAAGGGTGCCCGTGTTGCCTTCCAGACAAGCCTCGGCGCTGGAGGGCGCAGGCGTTCCACAGAGGTGAAGAGGCAGGCGGGCACTGCCCCATTGCTCCTAGCTCTCAGCACAGAGGGGTTGGCAGGTCAGCAGGGTCCCGCTGATCTAGTCCCACCCTGGTAGGCCCAAGGTGCAGTCCTTTCTGGCTGCGTGACTTGTCTCTGCAAGGCTTTTCCTGCTCTCATCTCGAGCCTCTCCTGGGCTGTTCCAGGGTCTGCCTGCGCTCCCTGGGTGAAGCTAGTGTCTATTCTCAGTCCTGCCGAGGCCCTCCGCTTCACGTACCTTTCTTGGTGTCCCAGAAGACGCACTGAACGGGCACGTTCTGCAAAGACAGAGCGGGTTAGTGAGCAGGGTGGCCTCCCTCGGTGAGGCGGAGAGGAGAGGGGAGCGGAAGGCTGGCTTACCTGGGGCAGTCGTCCGTGGGAGAAGGTGAGTTCTACACAGTCGCTGAGTCCAGCGATTTGCCTGCCTCCCACTTTCACACTGACCGTGACGTTGTCTAGCATGGTGCCTGTCTGGTCCGGGTCCTGCGGGACATTGGCATCGTTCCATGGCCACAGTTAGTCTGTACGCTTGAGGACCCCAAGCTCCCAAGGGCAGTAGAACCCGTACCCACTTAGCGCAGTGCTCTGTCTCCCTCTAGTGGAGACTCAGCGGTTGATGAGCCCACTTGTCTAACAGGGCTGGATCCTTTAGCTCAGGTAGTCGAGGTTCATGCCTTTAGATCCAGCAGTCCTAGGCTTGTTTCCCTGCGGCTGCTGCTGCCCCACCGAGGGCTGCAGCATCACACTGCAGCTCTTGCGCTGCCATGGGTCCTACAAGACTCTGTATGGCCACAAAGGAGTTAATTCAGTCACCTGGCCTTTATGCCTCTCAGCATCAGCTGTGGAATCAAGGCGTGGCTCTCATGGATCAGTGCCTACTTCATAAGGACAATGTACCCTCATGATGCCAGGCATAATCTGATCCCCACCATTTTCCCCTCCCTATTCAACACCGCCTGATCAGTGAGGTGCATGATGGGGGCGTTCGCTTTCCTCTGAAGAATCGGGGATTGCTCAGGGCCGGAGGCAGGATGGCTAAGAGATCAGCTGAACCTCTGCTCTGACTGTTACGGCAACGCTTACCTTAAACATGCTCACTTCTCCAACGTCAAGCACCAGCACTGCCACTTTGACGTAGTCTGTCTCATTGTGAAAGGACTGAAATAGTCCCCTGGGGAGTCTTATGTTGCTCACCTTTCCCTTCACACTTGTGTCTAGCTCCCTGGGGACCTATGCCGTGGAACAATAATAGTTGATTATTATTTGCTAACAAAATGCCTTGTTCTTCTAGAGCACCTTCCATCTCAGGATCCACAAACACTAGTGAAGCCCCCGTGAGGTGGATATTATTCGGGGAAACTGAAGACAGAAACAGGAAGTGACTCAGAGCATCTGTGGCAGAGCTGGGCCGAGAACCCAGGAGTTCTGACGCTCAGTTCTCCACTCTAGCCACTAGAGAACATTGCAGCCTAGCTGTTGCCACACAGGCAGGGTGTAACCTCTGTGAGAAGAAGGAAGTTCTTTCAGATAAGAAGGACTCCAGCACCCTACGTTTGCTCAACTAACTTGGCACACACCAGCCATGGCGGTGAATGTAAGAGCTACAGATAGCGAGATAACGCTGCCAGCATCCCCCACCTTCTCTAGTGGTGTTTTCAAGAGGATGTTTTCTTCACAGCTCTATTGCAGCTGCAAACATGGGCTCTGAAGAAGCACGGGGCTGCATCATGGCTTGCAGTGCACCAGCAGGGGTTAACTCAACATGGCGGCCCTGGGGTGTCTGACTGAGAGGCTAGAGGCCCAATGATTTATTTCGCCCCTGCTCAGAAGGAGACGATGCTGCCATTTTGGAAGGAAGGTGTTTGCTACCTCATTCGGCGTGATCGTGAAGACGAGATCGTGGGCGATGGAGGTGCTCACGTTCTGGACCCGCGCCTTTGTCTTGTTTAAGTCTATGACGCTCTCATTCACATCTTCCCTGATGAGGTACTCCTCGAAGGCAGGCCAGAACCTGCAATGGGAGGAGGGACAGGCTGAGAACTGGTGGAGGGGGTGCAGCTGCCGGAGGCTCACAGCTGCTCTTGCGAGGCAGGAAATGGCCGCTATGGACTAAGTGTCCTATGCCCCAGGATGCTGAGGCCAGGGAAGTGCTTCCTAGGCATGTTTAAGCTAATGGGGAGGAGGGAAGAGAGCCAGAAAAGAGCCTGGCTGGTGTGGACTATGGGAATAACCCTTCCCAGTGTGGGAGGTCACGGACTCTTCACCTCAGCACAAGGCAAACTCTGGGACTGACAGACTCCTTTGTCCTGGTGTGGGCTGGGGGAAACTCTGGCATAGACCCCCTCTGGCCAAAGGATGAGCCCTTTCCTGCTGGGCCAGGGTCCTCCCTCCTGGGCCAGGATGTGGGGGAATCCTGGGTTAGCTGCTGTGGCACTGGCCTGCCCCTCTCCCTTAGCCATGAGGGACCTTCTTCAACAGAGCCCTGCCCGGGTGACGCTCTCATTCCCCGTGTGCGCGCCCTCGTACCTGTGGATCTCGTCCATCACACATTTGCAGAAGGCGTTGGCCTCCTTCTCCAGCTTATCACACAATGGGGGGATGCTTGTGATTTTGTTGACTGACTCCGGTTGTATTGATAAACCTCCATTGATCAGGCCGATGTCACAGCAGCTGGTGTGAGAGTCCCCCCTGGGTTCTTCCTGCAAAGCTGAGGGACGCAAACACAGCAGTGGGGGTGTTCCCAGGTCTCCCCGCATCCTGCTCACCCTCTGGCCGTCAGGGAGCGTGCGGGGAGCAATTTGGAAACCCAGGGTTACCGGGAAGAAAGGAAAGTGAGCAACGAACAGTGTCCAGGGGGCTGTGACTGCCTGAAATGAATGGGCTAGAGAAGAACCAAGATGCCCCCACCCAATGTTAATTCAGGGGCTCAGAGGGGCTGCAGCTGGGCACCTCACAGGGGAGCAGCGGGAGGCTGGTTAGTTGTGCCGGGATGCGATCTGTGAGCATGGGCAGTCCTTTGCCTAGCTTTCATTGCATGGCCAGAGGAATCTGACAGTGGCTCAGAGCCTGTCCCCTGTGTTGGATTGTCCTGTGCATCCAAGAGACCTGCCCAGATGCTCTGAGCTGGATTCACCCCAGCGCGAACACCTGCAACGCCTCTGATGTCAAAGGAGTGACACCTACTTCCTTTTGGTCTCTCTCCCTCCCTCTGGGATCCGGCCGTCCATTTTCCTCTTTATTCCACCCCTTGGCACCCATGCCAGCTCTCGAGATCTGGCTCGCTCGGGAGCCTGCCAGTACAGCAGCAGCACAGCCCCTGGGCTGGCCAGGTGGAAGGAGAGACTCTTGAGAGCAACACAAGACGCACTGTCTCTGCCCTCCCCTGGGATCTACTTTTGCTGCAGGGGGGAGCTCAGGTTTGGAAGCTGGGTTCCTCACCCGCCCTTCTGTCTGCAGCAACAGCATCTCCTCGTACTTCAGGCAGACTTTCCTCACGCCTAGCCTGTGATCTGGGCGCTCTTCCTTTGTGCCTTGGTCCCATGGGACCAATCTAATTGCATTGCAACTTGGCAATGGAGAGAGAGAATCATCTCAGCACGAGACCTGACATAGAGCAGCTTTCGGGCTCTTGCAAATGAAGGCAGATCATGGGGCACACGATTCTAGCCGGAGATGGGTCCAAACCAAACATCCAGATCCAAACGACCCTGAATGTCAGCCCTTCACGGAGGCTGCACCAGGCCCATGTCACACCAGGGAGGTTTGGTGGCAGTGGCCTGGTTAATGATCAGATGGAATTCCCTGGACATAAATCCCTGAATGGGATGTGGTTCTACCAATAAACCTGTGTGAGCAGCCTACAGCTAGGCACTTAAAGCATCTCCCAGGCTTTTAGGAACATCTGGGGTGAGCCCATGGAACAGGGCCCAGCATGGGCGAAGGGGCCATTCGGGTGGGATAAGGGTATAACCAGGAGTCATGGGTGAAAGTGAGACAATAGCAATGTGGGCTGAATATGAAGGAGAGTTTTCCTAGCAGTACTTAGTATGTGATAGAGTTTTATATCTTCCTAGCCCTGTACAGACATTGGATAATTAATCCTACAGCACCCAGGAGAGGAAGGTGGGTCACTAGTCTCGTCACCATTGGCAGACGGGGAAACGGAGATGAAGTGACTTGCCCACATCACACAGCAGATCAGTAGCACAGCCCGGATTGACTGAGGGCCTCCTTCCTCAGCCCACTCTACGAGGCTGTGGCCCTGTCTCCCACAGGATGCAGTGGAGTCTGTATGAACAGGGGTAGCTGTGGTTACCCTCCCTCATCAGCCCAGCCCTGGCAGTGCCTAGGGGCAGCGCAGAGACAGGAGGTGGTTGGCTCGTTGGGTCATGGGAGCTGAGGGTGCAGGGTTGGGGAGGAGGGCTGGGTTGGGTGGCTGTTTAAGGCACTCTCGCCTCGGCGGAGGAAGGAAAATGGAAAGCAGAGGCAGAAGGAGGTCCCCTGGAATTCATCCTTAGCAAGCCTCACAGGGATCTGCACCTGCAGCCCAGCCCCAGAGCACGCGGCCCGGTTCAGCAGAGGAGGGGACTCACCCTTGCAGCTCTCTTTTCCTCTGATGCAGTCTGGAACAAAAGGGAAACGGACAAAACCACCAGGGTCAGTGAGTGGCATCAGAGGAGGGAAAAGATCATCACCACAATGCATGTGACCCAGCGGAAGAGCCATTGCATCACTCAGCGCTTCCTCGCTCCCACAACACTGGAGCCAGCTTCAATCTATCTTGTCCTCTCTCTCCTCCTCCTCCTCGCCTTCATTTCTTTCCCCACCTCCCTCCCTCCCTCGACCGGTTCCCTCCCGTTGGCACTAGTTGGGCTGGGAATCCGGGCGCCAAGGGTTAACGGATTTTCATGTTCATGTCAGTTGCTTGTATGTGGCGCGAGTGTTTGCTCGATCCTACCCCACTTGGAGTCCCTGAAAAGACACCCAGTGAGTGCAGTGGGTGCTGGCTCGCCCCACAGTGAATGCTCAGATTATCTTTGGAACATATTCGCATAGATACTTCTGGCAGGATTCCCCAGCTCTGGCTAATGTGTGGTGTTCCAGGGACATCTGCCAGCCCAGCAGAGGTGTTTGAGACCTCCCCTCCCCCATCATTCGGCCGTAAAGCAGATCTGGCCTCCTGGGATGTAGCCAGTATACTCAGCATACAACAGGCTGTGGCAGGCGACCCCTTTCCATTGGATTGGGCGAATGCTCATGATGTTGGTTCCCAACCTGCCCTACCCAGGACAATGCAGGAAGCACAAAAATCACCCCACCAGCTGCTCCCCGGCAGACACCAGGGGACTGGCACTAGAGTCAGACAACAAGCCAAACTTGGTCACGTGATGAGAGGGCAGGCCCCCGATGGGCTGCAATGCAACATATGCCCAAGTCAATCTAGCCCAAAGAGAGCAATAGACTTAGGGGAAATCATCTCTCTTCCCATTCCTAGCCCTCAGCTGATCACATTGGCCTTTCAAATGTAAGTGTCTGTCCCACTGGTTAAACCGTCACTGCAGTCCAGTGGGTAAACAGTTCGTTAAGGGGGGGGGGCACTTTTTCCTTTTCTTTCTCAAAGCCCCAGATCCACTAGGCCAAAGCACAGGAAAGCACCCAAGGCATCTGCAGGCGACACACACACACAGTGGGTGGCTTTCCCCCACCAGCACCTTCTCTTCTACTCACCCAGCAGTGGCAGGAGGCTCAGGGCTGTCACCATGAAGGAGCATTTCATGCTGTGCAGCAGATTCACCATTCGCCTCTCTTGTAAGTTTCTCTTTCTATCCACACCCTTCTCTGCGCCGTCCTGCTTCCTCTCTCTCTCTGGCTCTACCTCCAGCCCTGTGCTCCGAGGTTTAAATTAGGCAATGGAAGTGTCATTTCCTATCTGAAAACTTCACAATCCTTCCTGCACCTCTGCAGAGCAAACTCACTGATACAAGGTTCCTGGCTGATGAGTGACAGACAGCTCACCCCAAAACTCAGAGCTGGCGTTCTCCTTTCCTGAATCCTGACCCATCTCGGGGTGGTTCTGAGGGTTCCTCTCCTGTCGTTGTGGAGCCACAATCCCATCTGAGCCCCTAAATCTCCTCTCTTCTAAGCGTCTGGCAATAAACGTGCCCTCTGCCTCGGGTCTAAGGTCGATGCTGCTCAGTGGGTCAGAGGGCTAGAAGCGCCTGGGGAAGATGTGCCCCTTGCATTCCAGCCCATCGAGCACCCAGATGCTGTCACGTCTATGATGCCCCTATGTCCCCTGGCCCAGGAAAGTGATAGGTTCGACGTTTCCTTGCCAGCGCTCGTGGCTTCTTGCAGGAAAGACCATATGTGAGCCCTGAATGTAGGTACCTTTCCAACAGCCCTTCGCCAAAGCAGTATTACCATCTCCAGTCAGTCAGAAATCAAGAGTCAGTTCCCCCAAATCATAAGGTTGGCTTAAAACTCATGAGAATTGAAGAAAAATAATAAATGCCGGGTTCCTTTTCTATGTGTTTTGGTGTCCCAGTCATCAGGGGGCACGTTGACAAGCTCTTCCCCCCCAACCCCGAGCACAAGAAAGGAACTTTTACAAAAATAAAAATGGAAAGCTGAGAGTCTCACCTCATCACATGAGCCCAGGAGCTGGGGCTTTAAGAAAAATCTCAAATAGCTTGAGACTTGCCATAACACCATGAGAGTTGGCAACACTGCATGTTCTGTCAGTCCCAAGTTCCCAGCTCCTCCACACCACAGTGCAATGATGTCAGATCCAGAACCCCTTGTCAGCTGAGCCAAGCCACTGGCCTAGCTGACCGCTCATGGGCCACTGGACGTGGATTCTGAATTAGAAGCAGGGGACGCGCTCAGTGGGTTTCCATTCCTTGAGCAGCATGGGCAAATGAACTCTGGGGACTGGAGTCTATTCTCCCTTTCCCATCCCTGGAGCATCAGGGAGGGGTAAGGAATAAACATGAGGCCAGATTTTAGAGAGGAAATATGGTTCAGTGCTTAGGCTGCTAACAAGATTCAAGGGATCTAGCATAATGGGGCCTACAAGCCTCTGTGCAAGCCAGGAAGGGGTTAATAGCCTACACTGAAGGACCAATTAGCCCAAAGGCAGACACCTGGAGCTGGAAACAGGATTTCAGGGAGAGGCTTAAAAAGAAGAGCCCTTCTCAGTTGCAAGGGGACAGGCAAAGAGAGCAGGGGTGGGTGGAGGGCTCCCTGTGAAAGATCAAGATGGTAAGTCCAGGGGTGGGTCCCTAGCAGATCTCCCTGGAGGAAAGGGAAGAGTTTATGGGTATGTTGCTCAAGACGTGTTTTGAACCAAGGGCCTGGAAGGGGTGGATCTGTAGGTGACTGAGCTGGGAGCCTAAGTCGCAGCACCCCAGAAAAATGCTGGAGAATGGAGGGAGCAGCAGATAAGGAAACTGAGGCTGCTGCTGTGCACAGTACTGGAAGGGGGTGGTCTGGTAAGGGGGTGCAGCTCTCTACAGGAGCGGGGGGGCATATTGATCAATCAGAGATTCCACACACACTGGCATGCAAATAATTTGACCCACCGCCATGAACGAGACAACCCTTTTCAGGCTAAAAGAAATTTTCCCACCTAGTTTGAAACTTGCTGCATTGTCGCTTCTGCGTGTTGCTTGGATACATACGTTTCCCGCCGGGGAAAGCCCCTCCATATGTATTTGACAGTCAAGGCCTTCATAACAACATTGTCAGCAGTCGTAGTTCTGCCTCACTGCTCAAGGATGCTAGAGCAACAGAGCTCTAGCTAGTACCCAGAGCCAGGTTGGCATAGACCGTTCTTCCTGTTTGCTCTTAATGAAATTGAAGGGAGGGGTGTGTGTGTGTACGTGCACACTTTGCACTGCAGCTCTCCCCACACTGAGGGTTGGGAACTCTTTTCCCCTCAGTGCTGTTGGTTGTTAGTGGCACGTTCTGAACATGCAGTGCAGACACCCACGCAAATGTGCATCTTCCTCCTTTTGTATCGCGGCTCTCCAGGGTTCTGTATTGTGTAATTCACCACAGGGCTGAACGCCTGCCAATGGGAATCAGATGTAGGAGCTGCTCCTCTTACCATTCTTTTGCACGTGCCATGACCCCATGAGTGCACGTGTACAAATGCCCCCTGATTGAGCAAGCGCAAGGGTCTTTGACACCCAGAACCCTAAACAAATGTGGCAATGGAAAAAAATGACACCTGCACAACAGCTCTGCTCCCTGGGTGTTGTCTCAGCGATGGTGCCTCGCTGTACTGGAGAAGCTCCGGTGAGCCCTGGTAGAGCCCGGGCAGCTATGGGACAATGTGCTGGAACCTACTGGGGCTCATTTCACGCCAGCCAAGGCAACACGATCCTGCATGAAATAAGTGAGTAAAGGCAGCTGGGCGTGCAACCTTCAGCATAGTGTGTCAGCTCTGTGGGGCAGGATCTCCTGTTTGGTGTTTGTACAGCATCTAGTGCTGGACAGCGTGGTCCAGGCCCATAACGAGGGCTCCTAGGCACTCCAGTAATACCAGTATAGACTAATAATTGGCTTGTGCGTGATCCATGCCCTTTCACCGAGTTCAGTTTTTCCACGTTTAATCACAGGGCTGTAATTCAGCCTCCGAAGCCAGTTGTGTGTGAAGCTAATAAATTAATTAACAATCACTTGGTACGGGGACTGGCATGAGATCCGGTGGGAATCCTACTAATGAGCCTCGGGCATGAGCTGAGGTGGTACCTGGGAGACTGGCACAAGAAGGAAATGATTGTAACAGCGAAGGACCCACTCCTCCCCCCCCCGTGTTTCTGGGCTAGTGTTCGCAATGGAGCCTTTGCTAAATGCTCACCAGAAATAATATTAAGAAAACACGACAGTTTCAGGGTTCAGCACCCAGATGCTGGGAAATGGTAGTGGCACACCTGCAGGGACCACCTTAACTCTGCCCCTGTGCGTATGTGCATAAGGACACGATCGCTCTCAATTTCTCACACGCTAACACAATAATTTTACCTCGCACTTTTCATCCATGGATCACAAAGGAGGTCAGCATCATTGTCCCCATGTTACAGCTGGGGAAACTGAGGCACAGGGGTGACTCAAATCTAGCTCCTCTGAGTCCCAGCACACTAGATGCTCGGCCACACTACCTCTCTGTAATTTAATGTTTCATTTCTTAGGGGATGGCAGCCTTCTGCATGTCCCCAATAGTCCCTGGCTATTAACACACACATGCACGTGTGTCTTTTGTCTGCACAGGGGCCTGTGCGTGGGAATGTGCACAATAAGGCTCTCCAGTGGGAGGCAGATGGAAAATCATGTACAAACTTTTTTGGACGTGACTTTTTGCTGCCGTTTGTGATGCCGCAGACTGGGGCCTAAGGGTCCTATTGGCACTCGTCTGGGGTCACCTGCATAATTTATTGAATTGAATGAAAAGAGCCCAAGCATAGGCCAGATACACCCATTATGCATCCTTCCTCCTACACACGTTGGTGCTGGCAGGGAGGGCAGATGTCTTTATTGCTACGTAGCTAGGACCACTCATGGGGATGGCTCTTGAGCAACTCTCTCCAAAGAAGTGGCAATACGAATGTTTATAACGCATCCCGCCACGCCGGAGTGGGATTTCATTCCACCCTTTTTCAATGAGAACCCCTTGGCCTTTTCCATGCTGAAGCATGTTCGTTGTGATGATCTCAGTATTTTATACCTGGCATTTACAGTCGGGCAAGTAATGTCTCTCCAAGTGCTGCGTAAAGCTGATTGAGAGGCTGCTCTGACACTTCAGAGGAAGACCGGCCTTGTGGCCCAGACGTGGGCTGGGAAGGTAGAAGCTCTGTTACCACACAGACACGTTGCTTAACCCCTGAGTTTCCCCAGCTTCTTGTGCGAGCATGTCTCCCCGGAGTGTTGTGAAGCTTAGTTCAAGGGCTGTAAAGCCAGGAAGAAGGAGCCCACGGGTACCATGCCATGCTGTGGGAACTGTAAGAGTTCGTGGCAGTTCTCTTGTGCATGATGCGATTACACAGCACATACGGGGGAAATCGCTAAAGGCACATACGGCTGTCAGGCACCTAGGCCTTGATCCTCAAAGGTACAGAGATGCCCCATGGAAATCTTTGGGACTTAGGTGCCTAAATCTCTTTGACAACTTGGGTCCTAATTCCCATTGCCTTTCAGTGCCTACTTGCCATGTGTACCTTTGAAAATCTCTCCCTAAAAATACAACAGGGATCGAGTAGAGAATAAAGTCCCAACAATGGATAAAGTAGAGAATAAAGTCCCAGGGACGGACTGCATTGGAGTGGGAACACTTTAATAAGCAGAAATCAGATTTGACACCCCCTCTCGGGGAAGTGACCCTGCAGTGCGACCTACACACAATGAGGGAGATTTCCTACAACACAGCTGGGCTGAGATGCCCAACCCCCGTTGACTTGCAATCAGAGTTGGGCGCCTTACCCTTGTTTGAATGCCACTGAAGGCCATGAATTACATCAGTGTGACAGGAGAAGTGAGCCCTAGCCAACCTGGGCTCTCTTGGCAGGGCCGGCTCCAGGGTTTTGGCCGCCCCAAGCAGCTAAAAAAAAAAAAAAAAAAAAACCGCGCCCCCGCGCCCCGCCGCCCCCCCGCCGGGCGGGCCCTCGCCCCCAGGTGGAGTGAGGGACCGTCCGCCGAATTGCCGCCGAATACCTG